GTAATGTGATGGTAATGGTGATGGGTGGGGGTGATTAAGATGGTGAGGTGGTAGTGGGGTGGTGTGATGGTCGTGATGGTAACGGTGATGGTGGTGATGGTGATGGAGATGGTAATGGTGATGATGGTGATGGCAGTAATGGTGATGGTGATGGTGACGGGTGGTAATAACGATGGAGATGGTGATGGTGATGGTAGTGATGGTGATGACTGTGATGGGTGGTGATGCTGACAGTGGTGGTGACGGTGGTGACAGTGATGGTGGTGATGGCGGTGATGGTGATAGTGATGATGGTGATGGTAGTGGTCAGAGCTAACAATGACCAAGTGGTTACCATATGCTAAATGTTCTCATCCTCTACACTACTGATATTTGGGTTGGATCGTTCTCTGTAGTGGGGCCACCTATGCATTCTAAGATATGGGGTAGCACTGTGGCTTCCACCCACTGGACATCAGTGGCACCCTTTCTGGAACTGACACCACCACAGGCCCCAGGTGCAGAGCCACACCCCTGCTCCCCATCTGAGAAGCAGGGCTCTATCGTGCTGCTCATGGGAGTCTTTCCAGCCCCCAAGGGGTGGGCGTGACTGTCCCCACTTCTCAGTCACAGGGGAAACTGAGGCTCAGGGAGGCAGAGCAGCCTGCCCAAGCCTCCCATCCATGAAGATGGCCACAGGTGGCACAGGACAGGGTCTGGGAGAAGCAGTGGCCTCCCTGCCCTGCAGCCCCTGCCAGCCTCACAGTGAGCTGGGAATCCTGCAGGGAGGGAGAGGCCACTGCGACCTGCCTCAGCCCCTCTGACCCGCAGCCTGCGTGGGCACCCAAGGTGGTTCAGGTGTCAGTGGAGGTTCAGGTCTGACCCCGACTCCCTGCTCTCGGGCCCCGGCTGCCCCTGTGGGCCACTGTGTGGCAGAGGAGCCCTCCCTGGCCAGGGGGCAATGGGAAGCGGCCATGTACCACAGGAAAGTGAGGGAAAGTGAAGCCACCGAAAACACCCACTGTCTACAGGGCCTGGCCTGCTTCCCACCATTCCTTCCTGCCCTACACAGCCACTCCATCTACTGGAAGAGGTTGGGCAGGGTGGGCAGGGCAGGGACCCAGCAGAGATGCCCACTCCTCAAAGGGCACAGAGTGCTCCGGGTGCTGGGGCGTGGTACTCACGAACTTCAAGAAAACGTTGCCAAGCTCGTGCTGAGACTGAGGCTCCGGCTGCAGGCAGTACTCCAAGGCGGCCAGGAAATCCTTGTGGACTTCCAGGATGTCCTCGATGTTGGAGAACAGGACCTGGGAGGGAGGGGGGACCGAGGGCCGCATTAGCCAAGGCGCAGAGGCGGAGCAAAGCTGAGCACAAGAAACCCCCTGACACCTGGAGCAGGTGAGGTTACAGCGAGACAGGCGTGCTCGCACACAGGAGCAAGCGCCACCCAGAAAAGAACCAGCACAAGAACAGCGCAGCACCCACCCGCAAGGTGCAGCGGCCACGCCTGCACTGAGACCTGCACAGGCGCCTGCGTCCCTGCGGAGAAGCTGTTCTCATCCGCACCTCCACGGGTGGAGGATTCGGGTCAGAGACCAACACCCCCAAGGCCCTTTCCGCTCTCGGGGAGGACACTCGTCACCCAGACACCTGGGGGCAGGCACTACAAGGACTGATGTGGAAGGCCATGGGGGCACGGCCACGCACCTGCTCCAGGGACGTGGCAGAACCCCACACAGATGACATTCCAGGCCGCCAGCTTCATCAGGCCATCAGGAGTTTTAAAATGCACACATAATTTGACTCAGCAATTCTACATTTCTGAGCTTAAACTTCTGATGGATTGCTTCCTACTAAGGGCAATCTTGACCCCAGGGGACATGTGGTGACGTCTGAGGACAAACTGAGAGAGGAGAGCTACTGTTGGTTCACCCTGGGCAGAGGCCAAGGGCACTGCTGAGCTTCTGCAGTACACAAGACCATTCCACAGCAAGCCCGGTGAGGCCCCACGTGTCAGGGCTGAGACGTGGTGGCCAGCCAAGTGCATGCACTGTGGCCATACCTGCAGAGCTAAAGACTGCAAGTGACTCGCTCCGGGCCCCTGGAGAGCAGGGCGGGTCTTCTGCACAGCTGCCACACCCGATTTTGGAGCTGGAGCTCAAACCCCACCTGTGCCCGCCAGGGGTGAAACACGGCCTCCAGTGAATGGAGAGTTCTGGGGTGAAGACAGGACAGAGGAATGGCTGTCCTTGCTTCTCTCGTCTCTGCAGGCAGAACCCACCAAGCAGGTTCACGATGTGTTTGCATCTCGGGCTGCCCTGTTACCTGGTTCGTGGTCAGTGGCCACAGAGAGTCTGCAGAAGTCTTAAGTCTAATATTTCTTGTCACTTTAAGACCGGGGGGGCCAGTGCTGTGGCACAGTAGGTTAATGCCCTGTCCTGAAGCACCGGCATGCCATTTGGGCTTCAGTTCTAGTCCCAGCTGCTCCTCTTCCGATCCAGCTCTCTGCTATGGTCTGGGAAAGCAGTGAAGATGGCCCAGATCCCTGGGCCCCTGCACCCACGTGGGAGACCTGGAGGACACCCCTGGCTCCTGGCTTCAGCCTGGCTCAGCCCTGGCAGTTATAGCCATTTGGGGAGTGAACCAGGGGATGAAAGACCTTTCTCTCTGGCTCTCCTTCTGTCTGCAACTCTACCTCTCAAATAAATAAATAAATCTTTAAAAAAAAAAAAAAAGAAGTCAGATACAGTCTGTGAACAAGTGAAGAGTCCCCTCCATCTGCTTACTGAGCACCTGCCGAGAGGACACAGCAGGGAACAGACAAGTCCCGGCCCCTGCAGCACCCACTCTAGTGGACGGGGACCGAACAGAGAGGTAAAGTAGGTTTCTGAGGTGGAAAGAAGCACCAAAGACAAAAATAAAACGGAGAGGGGGCAGGTGCCGCAGTTAAGACGCTGCTTGGGACACCCGCATCCCACATGGCAGTGTCTGGGTTCAAGCCCCAGCTCCACTCCCAATTCCAGTTTCCTGTTAATGCACACCCTGGGAGGCACTGGTGATGGCTCAAGTGGTTGGGCTCCTGCCACCCGCGTGGGAACCTGGACTGAGTTCCCAGCTCCGGCTTTAGCCTGGCCCATCTCCAGCCACTGTGGCATTTGGGGAGTGATCCAGCGGATGATGGATCTCTCTGACTGTCTCTTTCCAGTCTGTCTTTAAAATAAATAAATAAAGCTTTAAAAAAAAAAAAACACACACAGAGAATCTGGGGACGGGGTAGGAGGAGAAGTCTGCAAATGCAAACATCAGTGGCCACAGGGAGAGCCACTCAGAAGGTGACCCCTGAGTTAAGACCTACAGGAAGGAAGACCCCCACCCCAACGGGCCCTGCAAACAGGAAGTCTGCCGAGGGAGACGGCCTCCGGTGGGCAGGGAGGGCTGGAGGCCCAAGCGCCTCTTCCTGCCCAGCCTCACCCGGGGACTCTCAACATGAGAAGTGGCTACCAGAGTCACCTACATTGTTTGGTGATTTTTTTTTTTTTACATGAATCTGTTCCTGTTAAAAGCACACACAATAGACGCTAAGGTTACACCGACTTCAACGAATGGCTGCAACGTTTAAAAATAAACATCTGGCCTCAGAGTGCAGACCCAAAAGAAACAGCAGCCTGTGTCCACTCAAAAGACATGCACAAACAGCAGCCTGTGTCCACTCGAAAGACACGCACAAGAATGGCCGGAAGTCAAAACCTGCAAAGAACTCAAATATCTGCCCACAGCGGGATGGGGAGACAAACTCTGACACGTTCCCAGTGCAGAGAACTCCACGCCATGAACACGGAGGAGCCAATGTCACAGACATGGTGGCAGGCAAGAGACGCTGGGCAGGATAGAGCTCACTTGCATATAAAGTTCAAGAACAGGCAAAACCAACCAATGGCCTAGAAGCTGAGGCTCCCTTTAGGAAGGAAAGGTAGGCTGAGAGGGGGCCCAGAGGAGCCTGCCTTCACTTGGGTCCCCATTACACAGGCCTGTTCCCACACAAAAACCCACTGCACTCAGCACTTCAGATGGGCACACTTTAATTGTACGAGCATTAGTTATATCTCACTAAAAGGCAATTTTTTAAAAACCTTAAAATTCAAAAATTTTTTTTCAAAACTTAAAATTTTTTCAAAAAGTTTAAAATTATTATAAACAATTTTTCAACTATAAAACAGTATTATAACAGGGCTCAGTAAATGTTTGCTGAATGAATGAATGTATAAAGAACTTAGATCCCAAGGCCAGTGTTGAGGTACAGTGGATTAAGCCACTACTTGCAACATCAGCATCCCATACGAGCGCAGGTTCAAGTTCCGGGTTTCAATCCAGCTCCCAGGTAATGTGCCTGGGAAAGCAGCAGAGAATGGCCCAAGTGCTTGGGCCCCTGCTACCTACATGGGAGACCCAGCTCCTGGCTCCTTGCTTCGGCCTGGGTCAGTCCTGGCTGTTGTGGACATTTGGGGAATCAACCAGTGGATAGAAGATATCTCTCTCTCTCTCTCTCTCCCTCCCACCCTCCCTCTTACTTTTCTTCTCTCCCTGGCTCTGCCTTTCCAGTAGATGAAAATAAATAAATAAACTTAAAAAAAAATTGGGCTTAGAATTGTCAATGTACAAGGCCACTGTCCAGATAAACCAGAACATTGGAGGGCTCATCTTCCTTGACCAAGCCCTTCGTATACTGTAAGCACAGGGCACCTTGCACATGTGCCTCCCACATCTCCCTGTCTCCCCTGGGAGCCGGCCCCTTATGGCCCCAAAGACTGGCAGGCGGCTTCCCAGAGGGTGAGGTCACAGCAGCCAGCCAGGCTGGCCACGAGCACCAGGGCCTCAGCAGGGCACACAGAGGGCCCATTGACCTCCTCCAGCTCCCCAGGGCCACTGCCAAGGCCAAGCTGGACCCAATGACTCATCAGCCCTGCCTGACACTCAATGCCCCATGCATTGAGTGGGTGTGGGAGGTGCTGGGCTCCCCCAGCGCTCGGGAAGGGATTTTCCACTGGCTCGGAGCCAGGGCACCCTGCAGGAGGAAGTTGCAAGACAGGGCAGCCCCGGGGAGCCCAGGGAGCAGGGTCAAGGGCTGACTCCAGGGTGCAGGGGCCGCTGGGGGCCGGGAAAGGGCACAACCAGCAGCCTCCTCCCTTTGCAGCCTCTGAGTCTCCCTCCCAGAGGAGCCAGGCCCCGAGCAGCAGGGCTGGGCCACGAGTCCACACCTTGACATTCTCCTCTGTGAGACCCTTCTCCACGGAGTCCGCCACATTCTGCCGGATGCGGTGCAGGAACGCCTGTGGGAGAGAGATGGGCAGAGGTGAGTGTCCGCATTGGCCAACCTCCTCCAGAGCACAGTCCCGTGGGCGGCTCACGTTCCAGCACCAACCAGGACACGAGCAGGAAACAAGGAAAGAGCCGTTCAAACATGAAGTTCAATGGGAATGTTCCTCGCTCCAGTCAGGCCCCGGTGTCTACTGAGCATCTACCACGCCAGACCCAGCACATGGCACCCACACCACAGAGCCCCTGCCCCCAGGGACCCTGTGGCCCAGAGATGAACAGGCAGCTCCCAAATCACCACGGTCTGCTCAACAAATTCTCAGTGTTACAATGGCACTGAGGCATGGCCAGGTGCCGCCTCCGTTCTTCACAGCCAATCAATACCACGAGTCGCTCAACCTACTCTGCAAGCCACGAGACTCGGTTGTAACAGAGGCCTGCGCTAGGTGGCTTTGTCCAACTGCAACAGAAGTGTTCTGAGCAACCCAGGGGGGGCCGGGCCAAGCTCTGATGGGCAGCAGGTTGGGGGGAGGGGGTAAGCACATGTTTAAGGGCCAGGCATGTGGTTTGGTAGATGAGACCCTGGGCTGAAGCTCCTGCACCCCATATCCGAGCGCCTGGGTTTGAGCCCCAGCTCCTCTCCTGATTCCAGCTGCCTGCTAATGCAGACCCTGGGCGGCAGCAGGTGGTGACTCGGTAGCTGGGCCCCTGCCACTCATGTGGGAGACCTGGATTGAGCTCCTGGCTACTGACTTTGGCCTGTTCCAGCCCCAGCTGTTACAGGAATTTGGGGAGTGAGCCAACAAATGAGAGCACTCGCGCTCTCTTGCTCTCTCAACTAAATACTTTAAAAATCATTTTGCATGCATTTTGGACTCACATTATCTTCAGCCTATGTTGGGTTTGTCCATATGTGGCACCATCATAAGGTGACGGGCAGCTGCAGCCCCTCCTACTCTGCCACCACGGGTCCCCCCGACCACAGCTCATTTGTCCCCCTTTGTCATTTTTTCCCTTTTCCTTACAATTTAAAATCCAAACTCTAACACAGTCACATGGCTCAAAATCAAAAACTATAAAATGTCAAAAACAAAAACTGCTCTACCCCAGTCCCCATTCAGCAAGCCCCTCCACACCTGCCATGGACACCACAGCTACCAGTTTCTGGGCTATCCTTCCAAAGAATCTTCAGGCAAGAACACACACAAGGATGTGAGAGTGGGTGTGCACATGTGAGTGTATGCAGCATATGCATATGTATATGTGTGAGACTGTTGTGTGTGCTTATGTGTGGATGTGCAAGTGTGCACATGTGTATGTGTACCGTGCATGCATGCAGATGTGTGTGCATGTGTATGCGACTGTGTGTACTGTGTGCATGTGTGTACATGTGTGTATATGTGTACTGTGGGTGTATTGTGCATGCATACATGTGTATTATATCTGTGTGCATGTGTGTGCATGTATATGTGTACTGTATGTGTGCATGTGTGTGTACATGTGCGTGTTATATCTGTGTGAATGTGTGGCTATGTGTGTGTGTGCATATACATGGGTATGTGCATGTGTGTGCATATGTACGTGTATATACATGAGTAGTGTGTGCACGTATGTGAGAGTGTGAATGTACTATTCTCTGAGCAGGCTCCTTCTCACCCCGCAGGCCTCAGCCCACGCCTTCGTGCATGTATACATGTGTGTATGTGTTATATCTGTGTGAACATGTGGATATGTGTATAAACATGTACATGTGTGAGTACGTGTATGTGTGTATGTATATGTATATACATGAGTATGTGTGTGCACACATATGTAAGAGTGTGAATGTATTCTTCCCTGGGCAGGCTCCTTCTCACCCACCAGGCCTTAGCCCAAGGATCCTCCCCACACCTTCATGCATGTATACATGTGCATATGTGTTCTGTGTGAATGTGCAGATATGTGTGTGCATATACACGTGCACATGTGTGTACATGTATATGTGTGAGTATGTGTGTGCACACGTATGTGAGAGTGTGAATATACTATTTTTCCCTGGGCAGGCTCCTTCTCACCCACCAGGCCTTAGCCCAAGGATCCCCCCATGCCTTCACATGGTTAGCTTCCTTCCCATTTTGCATTATCAGCCTATTTCACAGGCGAGAAAACTAAGGTTAAGCAATCGACACTACTCCTAAGGAAGAGGCAAGTTAGGAAGGGAACACAGCTGGGATTAAACCTGAACCCCAAATCTAATAGAGGTCAGGTCTAGAAACTGATGGGTTTGAGTTCAAGCCACAGACCCCCTTCCTTCCTGCTGTGGGACCTCAAGAAGTGCGCCAGCCACTGTGAGTCTTAGCTTACTTTGCCCAAGCATGGGGATGACAGCAATGCCACGCCCAGCCTGCAGAACATACTCGGATAAAGTGAATGGAAGCGTCTCGAAGGCAGGGATCTTGTCTCTCTCTCATTCCCAGCTGTGTCCCTGGGACTGAGACTAATGCCTGGCACACAGCAGGTGCTTACAAATCAAAGGACAGCAAGAAAGATGTCTGAGGCGCGTGAGGAGCCTCCCAGAGCCCCCAGGAAACCTGCAGATCCTGCTCCCGACAGCCAGCGAGTGATGGGGACCAGAGTCCCTAGAACTGGCTTCCACGCCGCCCCCATGCTGACAGGAAGTGGTGTCTCCAGGAGGGGAGACAGCAGCAGCATGGGCCAGCATAACAGAGAGGCAGGAAGCCGGGAGAGCTGCTGGCTGGCCTAGATGGGGCCGCTGTCCCGGTTTCTTCACAGGCGCTGGCCACGGCTATTGTGCTGGGACAATGGCAGGCTCTGGCCACCCAGGAGGAACGAGGACTGGCAGCCAAGCCAGCGCGACCTGGGAAGAACAGGCAGGCTGGGGCTCTGGCCCCAGGCACAGGCAGCCCCGCCACGGCCTCTGCACAAGCAGGGTGGGTAACAGGACCCCCAGGGCAGTTCTGTCCAGGGCCCCACTGTGGTCATGAGCCGCTCTCCCACTGGACTCCACCCCCACCCCCTTACACGCATGTGCCCAGCCTCAGAAGCTCTGGCCACCCTGACCGCAGCCCCACATCTGCCCAAGCCCTTCTCTTCCTTACATGATGATAATGATAATGATGATGATGATGATGATGATGAAGAAGAAGAAGAAGAAGAACTGCTTCAAGGATGCAGGAGGGAAGACACAAAAACACAATCACCAGCACAACCTCACCCCTTCCCAGCGCTGGCAAACCTTAATGTTAGGCCCAATTTGCTTGAAACCGTGAGCAGAGAGACGGTTGTCCAGCCTGGGGGTGGTGCAGCCTGGACAGGACATATGAGGGGCTGGGGCGGCCCTGGCAGTGGTCTGTGCCTGACCCTTGTGTGGTTATGCAGGCGACTATGTGTGCAACGCTCCACTGTGGGCACCCAGCTTAGGGCATTCCACCCATGTTACAAACCCCAAAGCAGCAATCAGAGAAAAGGAACCACTCCAGAGAGGGGAAAGCTGGTGTCTTCTCTCCAGGCAGGGTATGCAGCCCCCCAGCCAAGGCGTCCTCATTCCCACGCACCCCATGCCCGTGTGCACCTATCTATGAGCATACGAGAAGGCTGCTGTGCGTGTTCACAACCTGTCTATAAATGCCACGCTCCCAGCACTGTGCCTGTCTTGCTCCATGTCACACTGCCCACATGTGTCCAGGCGGGCATGGACACCCATCCCTACTCTGTACCACTGCCAGCAGTCAGCACCCCCATCACGGGGCCTGAGGACCCCTCTCTTTTGTTTTATTTTTTTTTATTTTTTGACAGGCAGAGTGGACAGTGAGAGAGAGGGACAGAGAGAAAGGTTCTTCTTTTTCCGTAAGTTCACCCCCCAATTGCCGCTGCGTCCAGTGCACCACGTTGATCCAAAGCCAGGAGCCAGGTACTTCTCCTGGTCTCCCGTGCGGGTGCAGGGCCCAAGCACTTGGGACATCCTCCCCTGCCTTCCCGGGCCACAGCAGAGAGCTGGACTGGAAGAGGAGCGACCGAGACAGAATCCAGCACTGGTGTGCTGGCGCCGCAGGCGGAGGATTAGCCTATTGAGCCGCGGCACTGGCCTCTGAGGACCCCTCTCAAGTGCAGGGCAGTCCAGAAGTACTGGAGAAGGAAGGCTGCCAGGAAACAGCCCCCAGTGATGGGCAGGAGCTGGTAGGCAAAGGCAGAGGAGGAAACTGAGACAACAAGGCTGCCCCAGGAAGATCCTGCTCCCCAGGGCCCTGCAGTAACCTACTGGATGACACATCTTCCTAGGCACGCTGCCGTCCCGTCTCTCGCAGGTGTTTCCCGGGGGTAAGGTACTCTCCTACCCCGGCACCGGTGTTGGCAGATGCTTCCTGGGGTCCACATGCAGACAGACATGCTGACTGCTTCATGGCTGCCTGGGAGTTTAAAGTGCAGGGGCTGTGCTGGGGCACAGAGGGTTAAGCTGCTGCCTGGGGAAGACCCACATGGGAGACCCAGAAGGAGTTCCAGCCCTGGCTGTTATAGCCATAGGGAGTAAACCAGAGGATGAAGGCTCTTGCTCTCTGTCTCTCCCTGTCACTCTGTCAAACAGATAAATAGATCTTTAAACACACACACACACACACACACACACACAGCGGGATGGAGCCACTAGCAAGCTGCACACCTTTAAGCTGCTCTGCGGTGCCCCTGTTGTCGACAGCGCCCCAGTGAAGAGCCAGGTGCTCAGGTGTGGCGCTCTCCTAGGTGTGTCCCTACGGCCACCAGGGACGCAGGCAGGGCCGATGGCCGCAGTCAGGGCTTCTTGGATGGAAGAGCAGGAGTCCCCTTCGGTGGACACCTAGGCCCTCAGGGCTCAGGGGCACAGCTCCCTCCAGGTGACAAATGGCTGGCTACACGTATGGTCACTGCACCTTCAGGGGTCTCCCCCAACTCTAGGCCAGGCTATGCATGCGTTGTGCTACTACTTGGGTTCCAAGGCCCTGCTGTCACCACCCTCAGCTTCCGCCCACCCAGAGCCCTC